TTCCCAGCCAATAGGAGCTTGTATTGGCTGGAATCAATTCCTATTGGTTGTTTCTAGTCTATAGGAGCTGAGGATTGGGCTGGAGGCTGGGAGATCACATGAAGCCTCCCCCTCCCTGCAGAGCAGAGAGCTGCACAGTCTGCGATTTAAACTGCAGCAGCTACATGTCTGTGGGTCCCAGCAGGGTGGTCCATGGGCCAGAACCGGTGGCTTGATGGGCTGAATCCGGCCCCCAGGCTGTATTTGGTTGTTTCTAGTCTATAGGAGCTGAGGATTGGGCTGGAGGCTGGGAGATCACATGAAGCCTCCCCCTCCCTGCAGAGCAGAGAGCTGCACAGTCTGCGATTTAAACTGCAGCAGCTACATGTCTGTGGGTCCCAGCAGGGTGGTCCATGGGCCAGAACCGGTGGCTTGATGGGCTGAATCCGGCCCCCAGGCTGTATTTTGCCCAGCCCTTCTGTATGAATTCTTTTCACCCTTTCCTAGTACAGTGCAGCCCTCATCTTCCAGTGGAGTTTGCTGTAGTCTGTTCAATAGTCTAGCATTTAAAAAGGAATTGATCTACTCAGCGGTATTTCTCTTATGCAGAGGCTGCCATAAAAGCAGGACAAAAGCCATCCAGCTCCATTTAGCAGATTTTTGTTTCTTAAGTTTCCCTGTGCCTTTAATTCCCTTCCCCACTCTCTGGTTGGAATCTGATGTGACTCACAAAGACACTTGCTGGCAGGGATGATGTGTAATGCTGCTGTTGGTTCTTCCCCCACATCCCCCCACTTTTCTCACCAGGATAGCTGAGCTTATCGTGAAAGAGCATGAGTGCAGATTAGAACAAGATCCTGAAAGAGCTGTATGCCATCACATGTATACTGATGGTGGGGGGAAAAAAATCACAGAGTGAAGACATTGCGGGGCAAATTTGCCTTGCAGTTACCCGGGACTGCCCCTTAACTTAAGTGGCATTGCACTAGCATGCTAAAACAGGGATATATGAATGGCTAGAACTAACAGTGATGAAGCCATTTGAGTGAAGTAAGGTGTATATGCATGTGCTCATTCCTTTTACACCTGTGCCCGCACAACGTACAATACTTCTGTGCAAGCTGTTACTGTGCGATTTCTACTACTAGCCAGCCTTAATTTTGTGCATTATTTGCACGCTAAATAGGACTTCGAAACCTTTGTTTCCCCTCCAGCTGATATGTTTGCCCATGAGGAAGGAGGACCCGAACCTGACTGGGTACTTACTGAACGCGAGCAGTTTTCAGATTTTCGGGATATAAACAAGGATGGGAAGATGGATAAAGAGGAGATTAGGCACTGGATTCTCCCACAAGATTATGATCATGCACAAGCTGAAGCCAGGCACTTAGTTTATGAATCGGATGTAGACAAGGTACTTATTGCTCTGGTATATTTCATATATGTTACATTAAGAGTTTAACTGATTCCCTTTACAGAGTGTCAGCCAGGAAGAGATGATTCTGAATTACTTTTCTTATTGGTGTAGTCTAGGTAGAGTTTTGGATGATAAAAATGGTTTTGCTACGGCCTTAATACAGCAGAATCATTTTGAGTTGTTAAAATTAGAAACCACCAACCTATCCCCCTATACCCAAAAATTCCAACAGATTTTTCTCTTTTGAAATGGGACATGAACATTTATGTATTAAACTGATTTAAGAGAGAGATACAAATATAAGACTATAAGAAAGAAGACAAATGTCTGTCCTATCCCTTCCACCTCCACTATGACAGGGGACTAATAATTCAGCAGCACCTGGATAGGAGCCATTGCTCAATGTGGTTGTTCCCCTCTCTCTAACTTTGCTGATTCTCCACTACTGGAGTCAGGATGATCACGACTTCCTTCTACAGAGCTGTATTTAGAAGGATTTCACTTGTTAAATATAGGTGATCATCATTGCCAAAGCCAGATAAAATATTTCCCATTATAATCAAAAAGGAAAAGTTAAAACCATATGTGAGCTTGTACAAATAGATGAGCAGCACGCACTTACAGCAGAAAGTTCTGTGTCAGAATCAGTTAATTATGAAATACTTTTGAGTGAAATGCAGATCTTAGTGAACTCAATGGGAGTTACATCATTGACTTCCACTAGGGGCCAGCATTTCAACCATTGTCTGCAGCCTCCTTCACTGGAGAATTTTCCGCAGCTGGGCATCTTGGAAACTTTCATTCATGTTTCTTTTATCTGGTTTTTAAAATGTTCTAATAGAGACTTTCCCCCCCTCCAGGATCAAAAGTTAACCAAAGAGGAGATTCTACAGAATTGGAACATGTTTGTTGGCAGCCAAGCTACCAATTATGGGGAAGACCTCACAAAAAATCATGATGAACTATGATATTTTTCACAACTCAACGTGCCAAAGACTGTTCAATTTCTCATTACATTAAGGAAGTCACTGTATTTTTATTTTCTGGCTGAATAATTTGCACCTATAGTTTTTAACAAACCTCAGAAATGGGGTGTAGAAATAGCCTCTTCCAAGAAATGCAAGAGCTAGTCACTACACTTTTATTTGAAAAAAACCCTTTCTATTGTGAATAGATTGCAGTATCACTTTGGGGATGATGTTCTAAAACTTAGTTCTTAGGATCATTAAAAAGTTTTCATATTTTTTTAAAATGCCCTTTTTTCCCCCCTGAAGGGACACCGAGTTTTAATTGGGAAGAAATGTATTGAGTGTTTAAATAGATTCTGAGTTTAGTGGGGGCGGGGGTTAAAAATAGTAACTAAGAATTTAGATCGTTATTTCCCCTTTCCCATATGAAAAGGAGGTCTTACTTGACATGAACTATGGCTTTTTTTCTCCATCCTGTGGTCTTTCCTCCTGGTTGGGTCCAGTGGTGCTGAATGAATAAGGCCTCGTGGAATAAAGGCAGATGCACCAGCCCTCCAGAACGTAACCATTGAAGTGCAGCACCTATAACTAATCACTGTTCCCCAGTTTTCTTTTACTAATCAGTAGCAGTACATCTACCACATTGCCTGTCACTCACCGTTGTTCTTTGACAAGGACAGTAGAGTCCACTCTGACAATTACTACTTCTGAGAGCAGTATGGGATGGTTTGTGGGCTGTTGCTTATTCTGTTTCCTAAAAAGATTCATGGCACACGGACCTGCTGTTTTCCAATGCTTCCCACGCTTTGCACACTCCACTTCTACTAGCTAGGGTTGACTTATTCATGCCATGTGGAAAAGAAGTGAGACCTCTATCCTCTGGGCCCTTCTTGAAATGATGGGCCTTATGTTCTCTTCTGTGCTGTGTCAGGGATTCATGTGGTTTAAAATGCTGGGTTTGCATATATACTCACATTTAGATCACCAAGTTGTATGATAGGTGGATCAATTTCCTACAGAACAGTAAACCTTCCACGTGGCAGCATATTTTACTGTATAATATGAGCTGTTGTTCCTTTTCATTTGTGTGGGTTTTCCTGTCAGTACTGCATTGACAACCTGCACAATAAAACTGTAACTTTCTTTTTGATACTACGAAGACACAGAAATGTTAGAGGATTTATCTGGGAGTGGGAAGTAAAAACAAGAACCATCAACAGGCTTTTAAATAATAGCGCCCAAAACTCTGGTCTCTGGACCATACGTAGTCCATGAAGCACTTGCTGGTGGTCCACAGAGCGCTGGCTGGGCACATGCAATGGTTCCGTCTTGTTTCTAGCTGACAAATCACACAAAGGAAGCTAAAAATACATTAAGTCCTCTGTAATCAATTGCTGTAGCTACCACGGCGCTCTAACTGGATCACCAGTGGCAGGGGAATTTATCTGCGCGTGTATGAATGGCAGGAGAGACATCCACAGGGCATTCCCTCTTGGATGTGTGCTCTGTGTTTTGAAAAAAAAGCTCAACAACCCCCATTCTAAACACGGTCATTCTGCTTGTGACTCCACATTTGGGGATATTATTTCTGGATGCAAATGAATTTCAAGGCCAGCAGAGGCCTTGTTCTGATCCTCTGTGTGATGCTGAATTTCTATCCAAGTACATGTCTATTTTGAAAAATGACTAATAGTGACTGGGCAAAAATGGCCCCTTTTAACTCAGTGGTGTATAGGCCTTGTTCTGATCCTCTGTGTGATGCTGAATTTCTATCCAAGTACATATTCTGAATCGCATCTGCAATGTTAAGTCTACAGAGAAAAGTCGTCCTCCTTTTTACCCCAGTTGGCAATGCAGAGGCAATGAAGCTATGGAAGAATGAACTGGAATTTATTCTGATTTATACATTATCAGTCAACAGAATTGTCAACTAAGTTCCAACTGTAGGCTCAGTTTTTTTCTTCAGTTATAACTATGCTGCTCCCAGGCATACAAGGAATTGTACAGGTATCACTGTGGATATAATCTGCCCTGCATAGTCATACATTTGTAACAGTACAATGAGCCAGAAAGAACACAGCTTTTATCTCTGACCCGGGGGGAGGGGGTGTTTTTTATGTTTTTTTTGTAAACTGAGCAGATTTGTTTAGAAATTGCAGAAAAGCCAAGCATGGAACCAGCTCTTCCATGAAAAGGTCATTTTTGCAGGGTTACTTTTCAGAGAACAAGTGCACTTTAGTTTATTCTCTGTTTCGATTGAAACTAGATTCCATGCAGTTTTGGCTGGTGTAGATCATGCAATCTTGATAATATTGTGTTGTAGCGACCTGATTTCTGCCTCACTATGACGTTGCCTAAAATGTCTACTAACAGTTCTGCTTCTTACATGAAAATGCAGTAGGACAAAATGGGATATACCACAAGCAAACACTTTGTCCTTCCAGAGCCTATGAATCAAAATGATGCTTCCATGCCATGTTATCTGTGAAACAATAAAACTGTGTCTAGCACAGAATTAGAATTTCTCTGCAGTGTTTAGCTTATGTATTTGACTTTGCAGCTGCATTCTTACATACTTCATGCATCAGACATCTCTGCGGGTAGGTCTAAACTGCAGAGGTTTTTTTTGAAAAACGTCCGTTTTTCAAAAAAACCTTCACTTCACACTGCAATCTCGTGTTCTTTCGGAATTTTTTTTTTTAAAGAACAGAGGGGTTTTTCCAACATGGGTAAACCTCTTTCTATGAGGAAGAACCCTTTTTCCGAAAGAGCTCTTTCAGAAAAAGGTGTGTGTGGATGGGAAAGAGGGTGTTCTTGTGAAAGAAGAGAAAAGAGGAAAAAGCACAGGTGCTCTAGTGACTACTCTATCCACAGTAATCACAGCTTAAATATGAGATAGCGTCCATTCCGTGTGGACGCTGTCTTTCAAAAAAGCAGATCGCTTTTTCAATGCGCTTTTGCTGTGTAGACGCTTTCTTTCAGAAGAAGTTTTTCTGGACGATCTCTTCTAGAAAAGCTTCTTCTGAAAGAAGCCTGCAGTCTAGACATAGCCTGGGAGTATTCATCTTGAAGAGAGGTTTCATATTGAGATTTCAGGGTGTTTTTAAAAAAACAAACAAAAAAAACTTTGGAATGCTTCCCACACAGAGAATGCACCTGCCAAGTCTATTGCCTCTCTTACATCTTCCAGCCAAAATGTTCTTTAAAACCAAACAAAACAAAAAATAGAAATTGGGTGCTGAGATATGAGGCATCAATGACTTCATCCAGCCATGACATTGCTGAACAGACTCTATTGTGTTCATATAGAACTGCACGCAAGTTTTGACAAGCAAAATTTTCTCCTGCATATATTGTTTGGATATTTGAGAGCCAGGACACAATTTTGCAGCCTTGCATAATTTGAATTTCTAATTATGCATGCAAAATCCAAATACAAAAGTAGGCACCACTGAAGTCAGTGAGATTACTCACCTGAGTATAGCTTTTCTACTTTGGCCTATGGAATTCTACAGACAGATTTAAATCAAATACTTGAAAATGTGAAATAATTTTTCATATGTCCATTTGTGGAAACAATTCATTTGCTGATTAAAAGTAGATTACAAATAATTAGCTAATTGGTATTTGTGAGTGATCTTAACAAGCCTGTGCACATTTACATGTGCTTCACCAAATATTTAAAAGGCATTTAGAAAGTCATGAATAACATGCGTACATTTCATTCTAAAGGTTTCTCTTCCTGCATTTCTTTTTAAGTTTCACTTGCCATGGCTCAGTAATACAGAGATCATTTTGTGTACTAAATCCTTCTTTCAACCTCAATGCACTAAGAAAGAGTAAATCTGAAAGAGACTAGAGCTTCTGGGTTTGAATTTAACACTATTTAAGGAAAGCAAACCTTTGCTAGGGGATATAACTGTTAACATTGTGATTTTTCAAGCCTAAGGTTTCTAATGGGGTTTGACTGTTCCAGAGATAACATATTTTTTCTAGGTAACATATTTCAAGTTCGATTATGAGCAAATGTTACAAAATTTTAGTGTAATGTGAAATACTGTAATGTCAGATAGCATTATTTATCTGCTTAATATGACTAAAAACATTAATTGCTGGAAGCCATAATTCATCCCAGCAACATGAAAATCCATTTTGTGCCTATCTTGTCAGTTATTGCAGATTCTCATAATGAATTGTGAAGTGGTGAAATTCTTTTGGGAAATGTGTTTGTATATTTCTACCTGCAGGTTCTGTATGGTCACTTTTATTACACAGATCCTCCATTAACTAAATGTTTTCATTATGGTGGTGCCATGACACATCAAGGATGCATTTTTATCCTTTTAGATATCTGGAGTAGTCTTTATTATTGTACATGCAGTTTTAATTATTAGGATTTATGAAATGAACTAAGTGGCTAATGTTCATTGACTTATATTTCCATTTAATGATTCAATTAGGTTAAATCTGTCACCTTTTCCATTCAAGGTACTATTTGTAATTCCCCAAAGAAAGGTAAAATAGTGCACAAACTGATCTAATTGCACTTACACAATGATATTAAAAAGGTTGCCTAATGCTTTACTACTTGCTATGTGGAAGCTAACCTTTCTCCCACTGAAATCAATGGCAAAGCTCCCATCTTTCAGTTACTGTAAAGTAGGCTTGAGGCTTTAGCTTCTATCTGTTACCTAAACTAGTGGTAGAACAATCAGGAACCAGAACAGAAACAATCATGTACCCTTACCCCTTCTGATTCTGATCTTACACCAGTGTAATTTTCCTAACTAATATGCAGTTTGCCCTAATTTACACTAAAATAAATTAGAGTGGATTCGGGTCAGGAATCTATATTTCAGTGAAGCTAAGGTATAATGAACCGTCGGCCTATTTGAATGACGGATCTACTTACCATAATTTCTTGCTTGCCATTCACTGAATAGCATTGGTGACATTCTTACATTGCAAGTAACTCCTAGCAAAATGTAACCCGACATTCCTTAGCTAGTCAGATCATTAGAAGAAAACTGGTAATGCCTATAATAGAAGGCACAATCTTAGCTCCATGATTGATCTAACATATGATGTTAACAGAGGACTTGCACTCAAATTAGAGATTTCCATCACTAGAAAGCAGCATCTTAACTTTGCTCCACCTATATAATTCAGTCTGTGCTTCTAAATCAAAGCATCAATGTGTTCTTAGTCAAAAAACTGTGTTGGGTCTTGTGCCAACTGTTCTGGTGTCTTGGGTGGGAGAGACAGAGCTACCAACTGCCAACAAGGGGCTAATGTTCATTATGCAAATGATACTAAACTGCTCAAGATAGTTAAGACCAAAGCAGACTGTGAAGAGCTTCAAAAAGATCCCACCAAACTAAGTGATTGGGCAACAAAATGGCAAATGAAATTCAACATTAGTAAATGTAAAGTAATGCACATTGGAAAAAATAATCCCAACTATATATACAATATGACGGGGACTAATTTAGCTGCAACTACTCAAGAGGGAGATCTTAGAGTCATTGTGGCTAGTTCTCTGAAAACATCCACTCTGTGCAGCGGCAGACAAAAAATCAAATAGAATGTTAGGAATCATTAAACAAGGGATAGTGAATAAAACAGAGAATATCTTATTGCTTCTATATAAAACCATGGTATGCCTACATCTTGAATGTTGCATACAGATGTAGTCACCTTGTCTCAAAAAAGATATATTGGCATTGGAAAAGGTTCAGAAAAGGTCAACAAAATGATTAGAGGTTTGGAACAGGTCCCATATGAAGAGAGATTGAAAATAGTGGGACTTTTCACTTAAAAAAAGAGGAGAATAAGGGGGGACATGATAGAGGTCTATAAAATCATGACGGGTATGGAGAAAGTGAATAAGGAAAAGCTATTTATTTGTTTCCATAACATAAGAACTAGGGGTCACCGAATTAAATTAATAGGTAGCAGGTTTAAAATAAACAAAAGGCACTTTTTCTTCATGCAGCACATAGTCAACCTGTGGAACTCCATGCCAGAGGATGTTGTGAAGATCAGGACTTTAACAGGGTTAAAAAAAGAACTAGATGAATTTATAGAGGTTAGGTCTATCAATACATATTAGCTAGTATGGGTAGGAATGGTGTCTCTAGCACCTGTCAGAAGCTGGAAATGGATGACGAGAGGGATCATGTGATGATTACCTGTTGTGTTCACTCCCTCTGGGGCACCTGGTATTGGCCACTATTGAAAGACAGGATCCTGGGCTAGATAGACCTTTGGTCTGACCCACTATGGCTGTTCTTATGTTCTTTCTCAGAAACTACTGCATTTTATTTACTTTAAGCCCAGTATTGAGTGCAATTGTTAATAAACTTTAGAGCTATCTAATAAACTTTGGAGCTATTTAATTAACTTTACAGCTATCTAATATAAAGCAGGAATTAGCACTCCCACAAGGAAGTGTAATGTACTGGTTTGCAACTGTATGTGTGTTTGCACATGCAAGCACGTGCATTTTCCACTTCTTCACTTGACAGGGTGAGATTTTTTTCTCATGCCTAGGGTTCTGTCACAGTACATAGGCTCATCACAATCCACACCCCAACTGACGTTAGCTAACTGGCCTAAGT